GGCGTCGAGGAAGTGCCACGCCTGCCACGCTTTGCGAGGACGGAGCGGATAGCGCCCGCATTGCAGCACACCCTTGGCGGCGCCGCGAAAGTGCTACGCCTACCACGCTTTGCGACGCCGAAGCGGACAGCGACCGCACCCCCAGCGCACCCCCTTGTGGCGTCGAGGAAGTGCCACGCCTGCCACGCTTGCGAAGCCGAAACGGATAGCGACCGCACCCCCAGCGCACCCCCTGTGGCGTCGAGGAAATGCCACGCTTGCCATGCTTTTCGAGGCCGAAGCGGATAGCGACCGCACCCCCAGGGCACCCCCTGCGGCGTCGAGGAAGTGCCACGCCTGCCACGCTTTGCGATGCCGAAGCGGATAGCGACCGCACCCCGTGCGTCCCCCCCCCCCTGTGGCGCCGAGAAAGTACCACGCCTGCCACGCTTTGCGAGGCCGAAGCGGGTACCGACCGCACCCCTAGCGCACCCGCCGTGGCGTCGAGAAAGTGCCACGCTTGCCACGCTTTGCGAGGACGAAACGGATAGCGACCGCACCCCCAGCGCACCCCTTTGTGGCGTCGAGGAAGTGCCACGCCTGCCACGCTTTGCGAGGACGGAGCGGATAGCGCCCGCACCGCAGCACACCCTTGGCGGCGCCGAGAAAATGCTACGCGTGCCACGCTTTTCGAAGCCGAAGCGGATAGCGACCGCACCCCCAGCGCACCTGCTGTGGCGTCGAGGAAGTGCCACGCTTTGCGAGGCCGGAACTGATAGCGACCGCACCCCCAGCGCACCCCCTTGTGGCGTCGAGAAAGTGCCACGCATGCCACGCTTCTCGAAACCGAAATTCATAGCGACCGCACCCCCAGCGCACCCCCTTGTGGCGTCGAGGAAGTGCCACGCCTGCCACGCTTTGCGAGGACAAAACGGATAGCGCCCGCACCCCCAGCGCACCCCTTTGTGGCGTCGAGGAAGTGCCACGCCTGCCACGCTCTGCAAGGACAAAACGGATAGCGCCCGCACCGCAGCACACCCTTGGCGGCGCCGAGAAAATGCTACGCGTGTCACGCTTTTCGAGGCCGAAGCGGATAGCGACCGCACCCCCAGTGCACCCGCTGTGGCGTCGAGGAAGTGCCACGCTTTGCGAGGCCGGAACTGACAGCGACCGCACCCCCAGCGCACCCCCTGTGGCGTCGAGAAAGTGCCACGCATGCCACGCTTCTCGAAACCGAAATTCATAGCGACCGCACCCCCAGCGCACCCCCTGTGGCGTCGAGGAAGTGCCACGCCTGCCACGCTTTGCGAGGACGAAACGGATAGCGACCGCACCCCCAGTGCACCCCCTGTGGCGTCGAGAAACTGCCACGCCTGCAACGCTTTGCGTGTACGTGCTGCGTGCCAATGTGCTTTGCTGTGCTGAGCTGTGCTGTGCTGCGCTGCGCTGTGCTGCGCTGTGCTGCGCTGTGCTGCGCTGTGCTGTGTTGTGTGAGAAGGAGAAGGAGGAGGAGGGGAGGTGTGCGGGAGACGCGGGTGCGACGTGGCAGGGATGAGCACCAAAACCCCACTAAGCATGTGGGGAAAAATGCGACGGCCGGTGTCTCAGGGTCGCCGTCAAGTCCTGGCCCTTTCCCAGGGCTGGCTTTTCATCCTGGGTCATTTTTCGACGTTCCCAGGGCCCCAGAGGCAGAACATGGCCACTGCCCTGACACGCCTGTGCGGAAACGCAACAGGTGCCGTTCCCAAAACGTCCAGGTTACACTCGTTGCGTGTTGGGTCAACCCGTGTTGGCCCACGCCTTGGCGAACGCATCACGCCAGACCTGCGTTGCCCGTGTGCGTGCTGAGCTCAGTGTCGACGCGCTCTGGGCTGCGTGTTGCGTACCAGGGAAGCTGAGGGCCGGAGACTTCTCGCTTTGCATCAGTCAGGATGAACAAGCAGACACAGACACAAACAAACGTAGATTTCCAGGGATATACGGGAAGACGTAGGAAGTGGATGGGGAAGACGAAAGTTCAGGAACCACTGAAAAACAGAGGGGGGATCCTGCCATCTGTGCCTGTTTGTTTTTGCCGCCCAGGGCTGCTTTGTATTTTCGGCGGCGGGCCCAGGGGGGAAATGAGAAGGAGTAGGCCTTCTCAGAAGGCCGCGGGACTTCTTAGAAGTCCGGGGGACTTCTGAGAGGTCTCCTTAGCCTATTTCGAATACAGACTGAACTTCTCAGAAGCCCTCTCAGAAGTCCGGAAACTTCTCAGAAGCCTCGGAGGTCCCGCCCCTTCTCATTTTCCCCCCGCGCCCGCCGCCGATATTTGTTCAAGGCGTCGGCTGTCTGGGCCGCCCAGGCGCAGACCGACCTGCTCTCCCGCCTGGCGGCGGCGACGCCGCGGGCGCCCGTGCGGCGGGCCGCGTCCGTGCCGGCGGCGCCCGCGGGGCGCTGGTGGGGCGCGCCGCGGGCGCGGGGCTCGGCTGCCGCGGCGCCAGCCGGGGGCTCGGCACGGAGGGCGGGTCGGGAGCCCTCGAGGCGGGGGTCCAAGGCAAGCATTTCGCAGGTCTCGAGATTGACACCAACACCAATATCGGCGGCGTGCCTCCACCGAGGGACGAGGATTCCGGTCTCGGTGATGGTGGTAATATTTTGGCTTCCAAGGTGGCCGAAATATTACCACCAACACCGAAATCCAGGATCATCTTCCCCCTGTGTAGGCAATCCCCTGTGTTGGTGTTGGTGCCAATTTCCAGGCCTCCAAGCATTGGGACGGCCGGAGCGCCCGATCTTGCAGGATCCTGCAGGGCCAGGGTCGCATTGACCCGGGCTTGGGTGCAGGATCCTGCAGGATCTTGCAGGATCCTTCGCATTGACCCGGGTCAGGGTGCAGGGTTTTGCAGGATTTTGCAGGATTCCTCAAGGCCTGACTGACCCGGGTCTGGATTGACCCGGGTCAGAAGATCCCCGAGCAGGCTGCACGAGGAGAAAGTGGCAGGTTCGCCAGCGATCTTGCTCCCCCCACCCCCGACCTTGCGACGAAGAGTGCAGCCGCTCGGGAAAGGAGGGGAGCCCTGTGACTCCATCTCAAAGGGGGCCAGTCGGAAGCACCCCTATCGAGGATGGACGCCCCCTCATCGTGTATCCCGGGGTTGGGCCCCAAACTTCTGGTCCATTCGAAAACTCCACGAAGCCTGGGATAGGGGTCGACATATCCCCTGTTATGGGTCATGTCGGCTCGTCCGACTCGATGCGATTCGATTCTGGTCGCTGCCAGTTCCGATTCCGAGAGTCGATTCTGAGGAGTCCGATGTAGACTCCGGTTTCTCCATGGAGGCCCGACGTTAGCCAGCCGATTTCCGCCGGCTCGTCTTCTCCGACTCGGCTGCCGATTTCCGCCGGTCCGAGTCATGTCGATCGCCGGCCTGACTGCTCGATCCGGTCCTGGTCCCTCCTGCCGCTCATCCTGGAGGGTCCTCGCCACCAAGGCCAGATCCTCCGCGGCATGTTGAGATCAGCACGCACCCCGGGAGAGATCCGAGGAGTATATATAGTCGGGCCGAGGTAATCATCAGGTCGAAGTCGGTTCGGGGAGGGTACCCTAGCGTTCTTCGTGTTCGTTGGATGTTCTTGTGCGCCCTCGGGAGGGTACCCTTGGACGCTTTGTGTTTTAGACAGTGGAGGGTCTCGTGTTCTTGCAGGTTGTTCTTCTGGCCTGTGTCCGACTGTAGCGGTGTCGGAACCTTTCTGATCCCCAGGAGGGGTCCTCAGGGGCAACGTCAGGGGGGAAGCATCGACCCCCAATCGCCCATTAATCGCCAGCCGGGGCCTGGGTGCTACCCAGCCCAGCCCAGGAACTTGGGGCTTCACCATCGCCGATTCATCGGCGGTGTATCGTCTGTTCTAGGTCAATGTCCCCCCCCCCCTAGCCAGTCCCCCCCCTTCCATCGTCCCCCCCTCCCATCGTCCCCCCCTCAGGTCCTGGGAAGAGAGGGGTGCTGGAGCTTCCTCGCCGTTTGCGGACCCTCGCCCCCAGCCCGCCCCCCTCCTGTGGGGGCCTTCAGATACGACTTGGGGTGGGGAGCTGGTCCCAAGGGAACGCTCTGGGTCGTCGTCGTCGTCGTCGTCGTCGTCGTCGTCGTCGTCGTCGTCGTCGTCATCCTCTCCCACCTCCTCTCCTCCTCCTCCCTGCTCCTCCTGCTCCTCTCCTCCTCTCCTCCTCCTCCTCCTCCTCCTCCTCCTCCTCCTCGTCCCCCTCCTCCTCTTCCTCCTTCCCCTCCTCCTCCTCCTCCTGCTTCTCCTCCTGCTCCTCCTCCTCTTCTTCCTCCTCCTCCTCCTCCTCCTCCTCCTCCTCCTCCTCCAGGACCCGCTTCCGCCAAGACGACGATCCAGACATCCGGCGGCTCGCGCGGGCTCGAAAGAATCGAGCCAGCCAGTGTTCCGCAATTGGAGGTGTTCGGGGGCCAAGTTCGGGCCCCAGTGCTATGACAAATTACTTGGGATGAAAAGCTTGCCCTGGGGAAGGATTCAATAGGTCCAGGGGGCGACGTCTCGAAGAAAGCGAACCGCAGGATGTCTGAGGACGAGATGTCTGAGGACAAAGACGAGGATCGAGGATCGAGGCTTTCTTTGAACGTTGTTGGCCCCCGTCTGGCCCTCCAAGAAGTCTTCGCAGCCTCCACTCCAATGACAATCTGGAGACCTCAAGACCTCTGGGGGCCTCCAGAGACAATGACGACGACCACGGCGGCGGCAGCGGCGACGACGACGACCACAGCAGCGACGACCACCACCGCCGCCGCCAGACGTCACGGGATAGATTGCCCGGTTGGGAATATGAACTTTGATGGCAGGCACTTTTGTTTGTCTCCCTACTGTCAGCAGCGACGTGCATCTGCCCTCTCAATCTGCAACAGCACGTAGACGCGATCCCATGGAGATGCTCTGGGCGAGGCATTCGCGCCCAGCATGTGTCTGTGTCGTCGCGGGGTGGGAACCCGCACCGCGAGAGGATGAATCACGCATGGGATATTTGGCTCAAGGCATCCTTGCCCACCTTCTATAGAAAGCCCGGTAACCAGACGTTGCTCGGGCGGGCGGGTGGTGGCTGGCGGCGTCCGACCTCATTTGAGCGACGCGCGACAAGAACGGATTTGCGCGCAAGCTGTCCGCGCGAGGTCGCGCGTGAGCGCTCTCGTTTCCAGCAGCCTGCCGCGCTGGCGGCCCACGTAAGCCGCGGCGTAAAGTCGCTACGTCATCTCGCGCAATACCGTTTTGCTTTCGTCGCCCATCTGGCGCACTCGGAGACGGCCTCCTTGTCGGCGAAGCTCGCCTCCAGCGGAGGCGCGCGCGAAGTCAGACGGTGGCAGATGCGTCCTCGGAAGGTCGGCGGAAGGCGGCGGAAGTACCCGTCGGTCGTTGAAACGAAGGTAGTTTGGAATCCCCAGATTCCAATCTGCCAATGTACTTTAGGCGCCTTCCCACTCAAAGAGTCGAGCGGTTTTCCCTCGTTCCTCCTCTTCAGGGGGCGAGCGGGATCCCAATATATCCAACGCCTTTCTACTTCATGCTTATTCCCACTTCTTTCAGCGGACGGGTAACCTTGGGGCGTTCACATGTTCTGATTCGAAGCGTTTGGAGTCAACCATTTGAGTTCGCTTTTGGAGAATCCATCTAATTACTTGTGGGTTGTTTTTGTTTCCCGTTTCCTAATTTATTTGTGTCCGCGCCGTTTTGTTTTCATTTACTTGGGTCGACTGTGTGTTGCTGTCCATTGCATTGGTTCGCTTGGCGCAGCTTTACATCTCATTGGGTTATCGTGGCCTGTTATGTCTTGTTTCTCGCTGCTTGGATGTATGGGCATGCGTTACCTTGCTTTGATTGGCTATGCATTTCCTCGCGTTGATTCCGTGTGCATTGCACTGCGTTTATGCCGCTTCTTTTTGAACCAAGTTGCCATGCTTTGCTTAACATTGTACTTAGTGGGTACTTGCTGCCAGCCCAGGAAAGGTACTTTGCAGGCACTCGATTGCAATGATCGCGATGCTCTGCTATGATTTGCTTTGAGTTGTGTTACGCTGCACCCCCCAGTCGCTTTGCTTTACATTGGCCTGTTACGCTCTGGTCTGGACCGGCTTACACTACATTGTTCGACGCGACATTGCATGTCGTTCCCAAGCATATTGTGGTGTTGAGTGTTGGGAGTTCGTTTTGAAGAGACAGCGCCCGGCGTCCACTCACTTACTCCTCCTCCCCCTCATTCCTCCTCCCATATCTGCCTCTGCTCTCCGCATGTTCACCAGTTCGGCACATGCCTCGCACGACTCGTGGCCCTATCGGGAGCTCCACCGACGGCCACAGCGGCAGGGTCTGCATGCATCCCCCCGCCTATCTCGGCACACCCTCGCGAGGATCGTGGCGCCATAGGGGGCTCCACCGAAGGACCCAGCGGCAGGGTCCGCATGCGTCCCCCCGCCCATTTCGGCGCACCTCTCGCGAGGATCTTGGCCCCACAGGGAGCTCCACCGAAGGCTTCAGCAGCAGGGTCCGCATGCGTCCCTCCGCCCATTTCGGCGCACCCCTCGCGAGGATCGTGGCCCCACAAGGAGCTCGAACGAAGGCCCCAGTAGCAGGGTCCGCATGCGTCCCTCCGCCCATTTCGGCGCATCCCTCAGGAGGATCGCGGCCCCATAGAGACCTCCACCCTAGGATCCAGTTGCAAGTTCTGCATGCGCCCCCCTGCCCATTTCGGCACAACCCTCACGAGGATCGTCGCCATCCAGGGAGCTCCACCGAAGGCTCCAGTGGCAGGATCCGCATTCGTCCCCCCCATTTGCACACCCCTCACGAGGATCGTGGCCCCATTGGATACTCCACGAAGGCCCCAGTGGCAGGGACCGCATGCGTCCTCCGCCCATTTCGGCACACCCCTCACGAGGATCGTGGCCCCATTGGATGCTCCACGAAGGCCCCAGTGGCAGGGTCGGCATGCGTCCCCACGCCCATTTCGGCACACCCCCTCACGAGGGTCGCGGCCCCATCGGGAGCCCCACCGAAAGCGGTACCCACAACGTGGATCTCACGATTGCATTATGGTTTGGCCTTTCGCCAGGACGCAGTTCAGTGCAGTATCAGTTTTTTGTGAGTTGTTTTGCTTGTTCTTTTTTGCACCGCATGGTTTCGATGTGTGTTTGTATTGCGCTGCTATGCATCGCGCTGCGTTGCATCGTTTCCGATGTCCCAAGTCCTCGATACTTGCAATTACGGGGAGTCCTCCACCTCGTTTCTCCTCCCCTCTCCTCTCCTACTGTTCTCCATGTCGCCAGTATTGGATTACTGCTTTCTTCGTCCAACACATGGGGTTCTCCACTCACCTCCCTCTTCCGGGGGATTCTCAGGTTTCCTCCCCCTGTGGCCCACTCATATTCAGGTTCGGTCATCCATGCTCGGCCCCCATCCAACTCATACTCGCACTCACACCCACATTCACAATCACGCTCAGACTCCCCACACATGATCGTAACCACCCGTACACACGGACCACTCACACCCAGACGCACCCACACATCATGCTCAGTCACTCTCGGGTTCGCTCACACTCAGCTTCGCTCATACGGTAGGTTCGCGTCGTGTCGACTGGCGGCGAACCCACCGCTGGCGTTGAATGTTAACGCCACCGGCAACCCAGAATCGGCCGATACGAAACGATCGGGCGTTTCGGAAGTGGCCGATCGTTCCAGGTGGAACGATCCCCGCGGTGTCAGGAACCAGCGCTGGGGTCGACACGAGGCGAACCTGCCGCTCTCGGGTCCAGTCGCTTTCAGGTGCGCTCACTCTCAGACTCACCCATGCTCAGTCTGGCTCCAGGTAGTATCGCAGGCCTAGAGCCTAGAGGTTGACACCAACACCAATATCGGCGGAGCGCCTCCACCGAGGGAAGAAGATCCCGATCTCGGTGATGGTGGCAATATTCTGGCTTCCAAGGTGGCCGAAATATTACCACCAACACCGAACTCTAGGATCATCTTCCCCCTGTGGAGGCAACCCCCTCTGTTGGTGTTGGTGCCCATTTACAGGCCTCCAACTATGCTCAGATCCGCTTACGCTCAGACTGGCTTCAGGTGGTAGGGTGGGTCTGCGCCGCGAGGCCGCGTCGGTGACCTCAGTGCGGTCGTCCCAGGTTGAACGCCGCCAGTAGCCCAGGATCGGCCGACAGCGAACGATCTGCCTTATCAGCGAGCCGTGATCGTTCAAGGTTCGAAGGTTCAAGGGCCGGGAGGAGCAGGAGGAGGAGGTGAAGGAGGAGTAGCCCGAGGAGCAGGAGGAGGAGGAGGAGGAGGAGGAGGAGGAGGAGGGGCAGGAGGGGCAGGAGGATGAGGAGGAGGATGAGGAAGAGGAGCAGCAGGAATAGTAGGAGGAGTAGGAAGAGGAGGAGGAGGAGGAGCGGGAGGAGGAGGAGGAGGAGGAGGAGGAGGAGGAGGAGGAGGAGGGGCAGGAGGGGCAGGAGGAGGAGGAGGAGGAGGGGCAGGAGCAGGACCAGGAGGAAGAGGAGGAGGAGGCCCAGCGCACACCCAAGAGTCATCAACGATGTTGGGATGAACCCTCCCTCCAAGCTCCCTCTTCATAGGCGCCTACAGCGGTCAATTTCCACTGTGGGAGCTGCCTGGTTTGAAGACAACCGTTTGAAGACCCTGAAGCATGCCAAAAGATGGTTCTCGCGACTCCACCGCTAAGGATCAACCTGACTTTTGCGTCTTGACGATCCTGAATCGTACCAAAACGCCATTCCTGGGACTTCAGCACCGCAAGTCAACGGAACTGTTGCACCCATCTACTCCAGAATCCTTCCACACCACTGTTTCTGATACGCTGGTCATGTGAGTCCGTGAAACTGTGGTACATTTTAAATGAATGTGCTCTGCGCTAAAACAAGAGCCACATGTTGAAAATAAACCGCTCTCAATCCGTGAATCTCTTGTACATCTCTCAAACGACTGTACGCGGCGCTGAGGCGAGATCCATATGTTGAACACCACCCGCCCTCAATCCGTGAAGCTCTTGAATCGTTTTAGAAAGAATGTGCGCGGCGCTAAGGCGAGAGCTACATGCTGAAAACCACCCGCCCTCAATCCGCGAAGCTCTTGCGAATTTAGAAAATAGATATGCGCGGCGCTAAGGCGAGAGCCACGTTTCGAACACCACTCGCCCTCAATCCGTGAAGCCATTGCAGTTTTTAAAAGCGAGTGTACGCGGCGCTGAGGCGAGACCCACATTTTGAAAACGACCCGCCCTCCATCTGTGAAGCTGTTGACAATTCTTGAGCTTCAGGGCCATTAATGATGAGGATGTCTCAGGCGAAACGCCTGGCCCGCCCTAAAATTGGCCTCGGGGTGCGACAGGGAGAAATGATGTATAATGAAAAGGGATGGGGGAGGAGGAGGTGGACGAGAAGGAGGAGGAGGAGGAGGAGGAGGAGGAGGAGGAGGAGGAGGGGGAGTTGGAGGGGGAGGAGGGGGAGGAGGAGGAGGAGGAGGAGGAGACCTTCGTCGACGGCCTCGCGACGCGAGCCTGCCGCACGGGGGCGGAGCGCGCGTGTTGCGCTCCCGCGCGCTTCTTGCTGGCGGGGCGCAATGGCCCGCGCTGCGGTGGGCCTCGGCCTGAGCCCCGCGCAGCAGGCGGGCCTCCTGTCGCTGCTGCGCGCGGTGGCCGACGGGGAGCGGCTGTGCGAGGACGCCCGCGCGAGGCTCTGCGAGGCGCCCGAGTTCGACCCGCAGAGGTCGCAGGGGATCGGCTGCAGAAGTAATCAGAGGAGGACGGGGTACCCATACGGCCTCTTAGGAGGCCCTCGTTTCCACCGCTGGATTCGCTTCGAAATTCTGGTCAGAGCGCACCCTTGGAGAGGTCCGGGGGGTAGCGGTATCAGTACCTTCTTCTATCTCCTCATCATTGATTGCTTCGTCGAATCCACCAAACGGTGCGTAGTCTGTTTCGTATATCTAGTAGCACTCTCCGTATTTGTCGCAGACTCTACGACAGCTCAAGTCTGGGGTACAATTCTGCAGTCGATCCCCTCCTCGAAGAGGGCCTTTGGGCAGCTGCAGGGCCCCTCGGGAAACCCGCGCGGCCGGGTCGGCCCCGCCGAGGTCCATCGATGGCTGGCCAGGAGCTCAATGGAGGAAAAGGTACCCTGCATGCCACAGCATACCCTGCATTCATTTTTTTTCTGCCCGTCCCTACTCCTCCTCCCTTCCTCCTCCTCCTCCTCCTTGTCCTCCTTGTCCTGCTCCTCCTCTTCCTCCCCAGCTACTAGCGGCACTTCTGTTGATCTCGGCGGCGGGAAAGTTCTCTCCGTCCCCTAGGGCGCCTGGGTCAGGGGCAGTCGCTCGCAGGCGCGTCTGGGTTGAAAAAGGGTTGGCCACTTGCGGAGGTCTGATTTGAGCTGCCTGGGAGAGTTCCGGGTGGTCTCAGCGAGAGACCGCCCTTGCGTGTCTGGTCTGGGGGGGTTCTGAAGCGGCCCGTCCGGCGGGTATCAGACCCCCCCCCCTCTTATTGCGGAATGAAGAGTACCGCTGCCGCTACCATGGCCTCGATTTCGCGTTGTTGAGCCTCCTGGGAGGCCCTCGTCGCCACCGCTGGATTCGCCTCGACGTCCTGGTCAGAACGCAACCTGGTAGAGGTCCAGGGGGTAGCGGTATCGGTACCTTTTGGTGTCCCCAGGAGCCCCCACGTGGCGACCACGGTGTCGCTGGAGAGCCTCGCGGAGGCGCTCCAGCCATACCTGAACTCGCACGGAGACCTCAGGTATGATGGCTTTCTGAAGATGTGCATGCCGAGGGACCCGTCCCGATCCTGGCTCAAGCAGGTCTGGGGGCAACGAGGGGGGGCATGAGCACCAGGGAGGATGTACCGCACTCTCGAATGGCCCATGCATCGCCCATGAGGAGGATCGATAGGATGATAAGAATTATGCACGGGGGAGAGGGGGGCAAATCTGGAGGGGTAGGTTTCGCAATGACCGCCTGGAGCGTTATAGGTGCCTTTTGGGGCGTAGTGGGTGCCTTGTGGAACTGTCAGGGGGCATCTTCGGGGCGTCTCGAGACTTCCTGGGTGCGCATTGGGGGCTTACTGGGGCTTTCGTTGGTCGTTTCGCATAGGTTCGGCACCATCGGGAGGCTCTTAGTCTTTTACTCGGCTGCTTCGAAAACGCGCAAACGAATACCGAATCATCAACATACCGTTCAAACTTGGTTTCGGCCGAAGATAATGACTCGGATTAGGGTTCGGGCGACGCTTGGCTCACACGTGGTTCTGCCGGCAGTACCGACTCACACGTCGGTTCGGGCGAAACCAGTGACTCAAATTTCGGTCAGGTCGAGAATACCGACTCTCACCGTGGGCATGTCACGCGAATGCTTGAGAAACACTCCGTCCAGAGGAACTACAGTGGAGACCCATGCCAAGAAACACCCTTCTTGCCTCCAGGGTGCCATGGGTTTCTTGGGATTCGATGGTTTTGCTGTGGAAAGTGCGACGTCCCGCCACCAAAAATCAATGGACGTCCTGAGGTCTCAGGGTTGGGGTTCTTGTGGAAGCTCTCTTCTTGTGGTCGAGACCTCACTGCAAAGCTGCTGCAAAAGAGAGGAGATACCACTGAGTCATGCATTGTCCCCGAGGCCGTGAGTTTCGGCCACGTTCGCAAGGCAGGCCTGACGGTGCCGTGGCGAAGCAAGTTATAGTTTCTCTGCACAGGCACACGGCGGCATCAAGAGAACTCCAGGACGGCCTCGAGGGCTCCACGACGTTTCAGAGAGCTCCAGCAGGCCCCAATCAAAATGAGCCGAGCGGCGGGGGCGGAGGGGGAGGACTGAGGCAGGGAGCTGGGAGCAGGGACAAGGATGGTTGGGCAGGAGGGAGGCGGCAGCAGGAGGGAGGAGACCATGGATGAGGACATGGATGACGAGGAGAAAGCGGAGGGAGGAGGAACATGTACCCATACCGCTACCCTTCCATCGTTTTCGCAATTTTTGGCCTCCTGGGAGGCCCTCGTCGCCACCGCTGGATTCGCTTCGAAATCCTGGTCAGAACGAACCTTGGGAGTGGTTCTGGGCAGTAGCGGCATCGGCATCTTTTGGTTTCCCCAGGAACGGAGGGAAGAGGAGGAGGAGGAGGAGGAGGAGGAGGAGGAGGAGGAGGAGGAGGAGGAGGAGGAGGAGGAGGAGGAGGAGGAGGAGGAGGAGGAGGAGGAGGAGGAGGAGGGGGCGGCGCATGACGAGCAGGATCATGTGGAGGATGCGCGCCCGTGGGAAGTGGCAGGGGAGGAGGAGGAGGAGGAGGAGGAGGGAGGCGGAGGCGGAGGCGGAGGCGGGGGCGGAGGCGGAGGCGGAGGCGGAGGCGGAGGCGGAGGCGGAGGGAGGCGGAGGCGGAGGGAAGGAGGAGGAGGAGGAGGAGGAGGAGGAGGAGGAGGAGGAGGAGGAGGAGGAGGAGGAGGAGGAGGAGAGGAAGCAGGTGGACAGGGATGAGCCAGAGAACGTGGCTTTCGCGTGTCGGCGGGCAGCCCACGCGCCCTGATATCAACGATGCATCGACGATACTCGAAATCCCTGAATAATCGACCCCCCACAAAAAAAACTTGACCCCCCTTCAACGGCTACCTAATTTTCCGGACCCCCCCGTCAAGAGGGGACCTTCATATTCTGGACCTTCGTCGTCGGCTAAAAAAACGCGAATAAATTGGACCCCCCCGCTTCCAAAAAAGACGCTTCAAAAAACTGGACCCAGGGAACGATTATTAGGGGATTTCGAGTACGTCAGCGATGTGCTGCCCATTCGAGGCCGACGCATCCCTCCCGTCTGCTCTTCCCTCCCTGTCGTTGCCACTCACAGGTGGCCCTATCGCGCAGCGTTCAGGCCGCCTGGCCTGCCAGCGGGAGCGCTTCGGCGGACGTGGACAACAGGCTGTGCCAGCTGCTGGAGCGGGAGTGGAACATGCGTAGTCTGATAGCCATGCACCACCGCGGCAGCCCTTCGCTGCAGGCGATGGCGACGGCCGACGTTGTCAAGTTCCTGGACGCCGAGGAGGGCATGTGCGCCGGCATGGGCGACTTCCTCTCCCCGGAGGCCGTGAGGCGGACGCTCGTCGACAGGCTGAGTGCGCTCAGCAGCGCGCAGTGCGACTCCCTGATGCGCCGGCTCAACCCGTCCGGGCTGTGCCTGATCGCCTTCGGCGAGCTTGCCAGGCACGTGCTGCCGAATCCGTCTTGGCACCAGGCGCTGCCCGCGTCAGGTGCCAACGCCCTGCGCGAGGCCTCCCCGGCCAAGGACCACTCGGCGCTGTCCAGCACGAGGCCTGGCACCTCGTGGGCGATAGACGCCTCGTGCGGCCTCGACGCCGCGCGCGCCCCCTCGCCGCCGCCGCGCTTGCGGGAGCCCGCGGGGCCGCAGGCCTGTCGGTGGGCGCCGCCGGCACGCTGGGAGGTGTCTGCGCTGCCACGGGACCAGTATGATCCGAACCGCGACGTCGTCTTCGACGTCAGGGCAGTGCCGGCGGGAGCGCGGAAGGAGGCATCTCTCGTGCGCAGCGGCTCCACGCCCTTATCGCCCCTCCCGCGTGACGGCCTCCACGAGTCGCAGAGGAGGGGCTGCGCCTCCGTCACCCAGAGCTGGGAGCAGAGCCTGCGCAGGTCGCCCGACGTGGCGAGGGACTGGAGCCCGCAGCGGCGCGGGCGGCCGCTGAGCGCAGCCGGCCTGAGGACTCCCCGCCCGGAGACGCCGCGGCGGGCCCGCGAACTTGGCGCTACGGCGAGCTACCTGTCGCCAGAGTCGCACGGCAGGCCGGGCTCCCCGCCGCCGTGCCGCGCATCCCAGTGGCACGCGGCCCCGTCGAGCCCGCCGCGGCGCCAGGCGTCGCCCGGCAGGGCCTCAAGCCTGCCGCCCGGCAAGTCGCTGGCGGCCGCCGCCCGCGGCGCTCGCGCGCCCGCGGCCATCTGCAAGAGCCCGCCGGCGCTCGCGCCGTCGGCCGGCTGCAGCGCCCTCGCGCACCGCCGCGGTGGGGCGGCGCCCGCGCCAGCGCCACAGCTCGCCGTGGCCCCGCCGTCGGCGAGGTGGCCCCCTCCGGCCAGCAGCTGGGCCAACGGCTCTCTCGTTCGGCGCGTGCTGAAGGCCATGGCCCTCCAGGCGCACAGCGACGCGCGTGTGGAGGAGGCGAAGCTGCTGCTGCCGGCTGGGCTTCCGCTGGAGGCGGTCTTCAGAGCGCTGGACCGCGCCAACAAGGGCTTCGTTCTCGACACCGACCTCCTCCGCCTGCTGCGGGACTTCGGAGGCTCGCCGGCCTCGGGGAGCATCGCGGCGCTGGTGAGGGACCGGCAACTGCGGCACCGGTTCGACTACGTCGCGATACCAGGGCAGCTGTCGTTCCGAGAGATCGGGTCTCTCGTGTTCCCCGTCGGCTCCGAGGAGCACGAGGCCTTGTGCGCCGCTTCCTCGGACGCGGAGGCGAGGTCGATCCTGTATCTCCTGAAGAACTCGGAGCCCTGCCCGCGGTGCGGCATGCGCGCCCAGCGTGACGCGGACGCCGCTGGCTGTCCGAGCGTCACGTGCCCGGTATGCGGGGCTTCCTTCCGCTGCTTCGCGGTCGTGGGCGACGCGCCGGGCCCGGAGCCCGTGGGGCTCTCGCCCTCCAGCTCCTACCAGCTCTTCCGTCTGGTCGACACCGCGGCACGCGCTGCGAGTGACGTGGAGGCGGAGCGCGCGAGGCTAGCGGCGCAGCCTGGCTTCGACATCTGCACGCTGAGCGATGCGTTCAGCAGCCTCGCCGGCGAGCGCGTGTCCTTCTCGATCGAGGGCCTCCGCCGCGCGCTCGCGCACCACAGCGTGCACGTCACGGAGGCGGTCGGAGAAGAAAAAGCGCCATACACATCAAGTTTTGGCGCTCCGCGCGGATTTCTTGGATCCGCGCTGGGCCCCCCTGGCGGCGCGCTTCGCACGCCAGGGAGGGGGTCCAGCGCAGGTCCCCTTAAACGGGCGGAGCGTCACAAGTTTCTGTTTGTGCCGTTTTTCGTTGTTGCTTTGTTCCCTACCTAGGCTCTGTCTAGAAGAGTTCTTACTCTCTTAGCTTAAAGGGGCCGGGCAATGGAAAGCGCCCCGGGCGGTTCCCCCGGTCCCCGCCCCGCGGTTCCCCCAGTCCCCTGGGGGCTTTAGCTTTAGCTTTAGCTTAGCTTTAGCTTAGCTTCAGCTTAGCTTTAGCTCAGCTTTAGCTCAGCTTTAGTTTAGCTTTAGGCTTTAGCTTAGCTTCAGCTTAGCTTCAGCTCAGCTTCAGCTTAGCTTTAGCTTAGCTTTAACTTAGCTTTAACTTAGCTTTAGCTTAGCTTTAGCTTAGCTTCAGCTTAGCTTTAGCTTAGCTTTAGCTTAGATTTAGCCTAGCTTTAGCCTAGCTTTAGCTTAGCTTTAGCTTAAATTTAGCCTAGCTTTAGCTTAGCTTTAGCTTAGCTTCAGCTTAGCTTCAGCTTAGCTTCAGCTTAGCTTTAGCTTAGCTGTACTGTTACTACTAATGCTGCTTTCCTAGGGGCTCCAACTCCTAGGTAGGGTCGCACTGGGATATTTACCTAACAGCGAAGACTGATAGGTTTCTAGTGGGATCAAAAGAGAGCAGCAGATCACTCCACAGGGGGGTCCGGGCAGGTGTTGGGAGTTGCCGGGCGGCAGTGAGCCGGGCTCGTTTTTCACCAACAGTCACACACTTCGTGCTCTTCGCCTTCCCAGAACTCCATTCCCAGGCCACATTCTGGGGGGCCAGATGCAACTGTAGGCCACTTCGTGCTCTTCTATTTCCCAGAACTCCATTCCCGGGCCACATTCTGGGGGGCCGGATCCAACTGTAGGCCACTTCGTGCTCTTCCATTTCCCAGAACTCCATTCCCGGGCCACATTTTGGATGCCCGGAGCCAACTGTAAGCCACTTCGTGCTCTTCCATTTCCCAGAACTCCATTCCCGGGCCACATTTTGGATGCCCGGAGCCAACTCTAGTCCACTTCCTGGTCTTCGAGTTCCCAGAACTCCATTCCCGGGCCACATTTTGAATAGCCAGACGCTTCATACTCCTTCCGCCACAGCTGTGTTTGGTTCAGGACTTGCTAGTGACACTGCAGTCCTCTGCATTCAATCGTGCCACTGCATTCATTCACTGCAGACCACTGAGTTTTGATTGCAATGGCGTTCCCCTGGCCGTACCCCCATGTCCAACGTTCATCCGCAGCCTCTGCTCCGCGAGGCTCGTCCGAAGTGTCGCCGCCTCGCGGTGCTTCTCAGCCTGCGCCGCCTCGCGGTGCTTCTCAGCCTGCGGAGGAAGGTGGACAGACGCCTGGTTCTGGCGCTGTGCAGCCTGCGTCTTTCACGGTCGCCTCGTTCAATTTCGGGTTCGAGCAGGGCATGATGACTGGTAAGCAGGCGGCCACTCACTGCGCTAACTTCGGAAGGTTGTGCGCCACGATAGTGGAGACCGCTGATGCTGATATTGTCTGTGGCTGCGAGGTCGGTGCGTTCCGTGAAGGCTTTCGCCGAGCAGGGATCAACGTGACAGAGATCCTCAGTAAGCCTTTCGGTGATGGCATTCGCTTCTCGGAGGTCGACAACTACTTGACTCTCTGGGGGTTCCGCGGTGCTTCTCAGCCTGCGGAACTGACTCTGTGCGAAGACAGCAAAGTTTACAGGCCTCCTAGCGGCCGAGAGATTGATGCTGTTATTTCACATTTTGAGGTGAACAAACCAGGCCATGACAAGTTCCACGTGGTGATCGCCAACATGCACATCGTGTGCGGCAAGAAACCGCCGACCATCCAGACTCGAAAGCGGACAGTTCGCCATCTCCGCTTGCACCTGGACGGCCTGGCCAAGATTCTTGAGAATCTAAACCAGGCAGTCGTTCTGCTTGTAGTCGGCGACGACAACCTCACTTTCCAGGAGGCGCGGGAGGCTTACCAGCGCCAGCAGAACGACGAGAAGGTATGGGAGGTCCATGCCACTCCGGCCGACCTCAAAGGCGACCACGTCGCGGTCTGCGGAGCAGTCGCCCGTTTCTGCTCCATTGCCGTTGGCGCGTCTTTTACGGATCGTGGCATGCGCAACGACGCACACGATGCGGTGGCGGTTGTGCTCACTCTCCCTGGTGCTATTCAGCCTGGGGAGAGCAAGAGGCGGAAGATTGTCGTCGAAAACGTCTCCGACGCCGACGTCAGCGTACAGGCGGACCGCGAGTCTTCTGTGCATTGGGATCGGTCGCCGAGTTCTACTCCTCCGCTTTCACCGACTTCACCGGGTGATCCCGACTACGTCGAGGATGTCGTTCAGAATCGCGCGGACGACTTGCACAGGGAGCTGAGGCAGCTTTGGGACGACAGGTACGACGAGGAGTACGATCCGAAAGTCCTCCATCATCTCAGTCTCTTGCTTTTCAAAAAGAGGAAGTCCACGGAGCCAGCGGACACTAATCCAGCTGGCGCTCCTCAGCCTGGCTCGGAATATGACGCGGCCTTTGCGTCTCAGGAGGAGACTGGCCGAGCCATTCTCTCTGTCCTTAAGCTTCGACATGACTTTCTGCGGAGCAAGAACATCGACGACATGCGCTACGTTCTCACGGAGCCTGAGCGCCAGGAATTGGTCAGAGTAGCTCGCGACCAGTACGAGCAGTCGCGGCAGCAGCGTGCGCTTCAGGAACGGGATATCGAAAAGGGAAAAGCGAAAGGCAAGTCTGCGCCACAAGGGGGCCATGCGGTTCCGCAGGGTCCGAACAAAGGGCCAGGCGGTAAGAAAGGTTCTCACGGTGCTTCTCAGCCTGCGGGAAAAGGTGGCCAGGCCAAGGGTGCAGGTCTGGGTAGCGTCGCCAAGTTTGTGAAAGACCAGAAGCGTAAGCGGTGGCATCGCCATTTGCAACGTGTGGCCGGTACCAAACAGATCTGGGAGGTGCTGGCCTTCTCAGGGCGCTTCGACGTTGATTGGCTAACGCAAGCGTTGCAAGCTGATCACAGTGAGGGCCGTGATGCAGCAGTTCCCGAGGAAGCTCTGCGGCAACAGCGGCGCCGGCTGCACCACCAGAAGGCCGAGGCCATCGCGCGCTACAACGAGGGGGAGCGGCTTTCCCTCCATCTGTCTGCCCAGGCTGGCCAGCCAAAGCCGAACTTCACGCGCAGGCAGCTGGACGTGTTGCAGATGTTTGAGAGCGGAGCGCTGCTTCAAATCCGCAACCAAGCGATTCTGGCGTTGGGGCACGGCCGTCTGTTCAGGGGCGATGGCGACTACCTGGACATCGGCGGCAGCACGGGCGGTGGCTCCAGGCGCATCATCGATTCTTGGCAGCCGCCGGACTGGCGTGACTTCCTCCAAGACGATCAGGACATCTGAGTTTTGCAAGTCTCCCTGCCCGCGGTGCTTCTCAGCCTGCGGTCTGCCGCTCTCCAGCTGCGGTCTCGAGCAGTAGTGTTCGAAAGCATGCGAGTTCCTGCGGTGCTTCTCAGCCTGCAGGTTTCGCAGCCTGCGCTCTGCAGTACAAGTGCTTTTCAGCATGCGACATCCTGCGGTGCTTCTCAGCCTGCAGGGTTCGCAACGTGCGGTTTGCAATGCATTCCTTTTCAGTATGCGAGTTCTTGCGGTGTTTCTCAGGCTGCAGGGCTCCGAGGCTCTTCGCTTCGATGCCAATGTTTTCAGACACCGTAGCTCCGTTCCGTAAACATCTTCCAAGAGCCGCTCGCAACCTTTTGCAGCTGGCTGTCTGCAGACGTAGTCTGTCTCAGCATGCGAGCTCCCGCACGCTTCGCCGGCTTTTGCTGCGCGGACAATTTTCTCACACACGTCAGCGCCGTTTGTAGGCGTCAGAAAAACATGTAGACATTCACGAAGGGCTTAGTCTGTATATCGTCACATCATTACATACGCAGTCGTCGAACACATCGGTGTACATTCAGCGCTTTGTCCTTCTACAGCATTCTTTCCGTTGATAACAGTGTTCTGATGGGTTCGCTTCGTTCTAAAAGCGTTGATAGCAGTGTCTCGTTTGCGGACAACTCATTCTATATCAACTCACTGATACCGAGTTTCCTTTCACCATAAGTGAATGCATACCAGTGTATGTTGGTTACTACAAAAGTGGGTTCCTACAACCGACTTCATGATCGCTATCATCATCGCAGATTTCACTCATCCTCATCACCACGACTGGTTCACGTTGGCCTGCGGTGCTTCTCAGCCTGCAGTTCCTTTCGTTACACTGTAGTTGAAGCCGTTCATGGCAGTGACTCGTTTAAAGACAACTTTAGTATTGGGGGAAGTGTCGATAGCAGCGTTTCTTTTTACTTATACAAGCGTTGATAGCAGTGTCTCGTTTGTGGACAACTCATTATATATCAACTCATTCATGCAGAGTTTCTTTTCGCAGCAAGTGAATGCACAGCAGTGTATCTGCATTACTGGCCCCCACTCCATTATCACTATCATCATCAACGATTTCCTACACGCGTGTGCGCGGCGGTCGCCATGAGTGAATAGTTTGCAGAGACTTCTCGCATTGATACCCATGGGTCACTTCAGAGTGAACTCATTTGTGATCTTCTTTCATTGGAAGTTGAATCGGTTGATGGCAGTGCCTCGTTTAAACTCCACTTTGGTATTGCTAGTAGTGTCAATGCCAGCGTTTCTTTTTAATTGTGCAAGCGTTGATAGCAGTGTCTCGTTTGTGGTTAGTTATAACAGCGTTGACAGCAGTGTCTCGTTTGCGGACACCTCATTGTACATCAACTCGCTGATACCGGGTTTCCTATCAACACCATCATCATCATCCTTAACCATGTTTGCTCGAGTTTCACCTGGCCGTCCAGCCGCGGCGGTGCTCCTCAGCCTGCCTTGTCACAATGCCAGCACGCGGCAAGGCATCGCCCCCGCCACCCCCGGCCCCGTGCGATGGCCCGTGGGAGATTCTGCCGGATCCGCCCGCACCGACTCCTCAGCCAGGTGTCGACGTGGTCTTTGAGCAGGCTCACCTCGAAGACATCCGCCGTACACCAGGGATGGGCGGCAAGACCGCCTGCCAGTGGCAGCGCGCGCTGCGCGCCGAGTGCATTGTCAACAACTTGTCGTTCAAAGACGTAACAAACGACCCGTCCTACGACTGGAAGCAACTGCTTCGGTCTGCCGCTCCGGGTTTCGCTGAGCGCATAATCGGGCAGGGCATCGCCCAGGTTCTCTTTCGCATCATCGAGACAGAGCGCGACCCTAACTACTCCAACACGGATGGCCACGGCAGGCACTTCTTCGAGTTCCGTCGTGCAGACGGTTCAGCCATGCGCCTGCATTACCATAAGAACGGCCGACCCGATGAGCCCACCTATGTCGGTCCACCACGCGCCGTTGCTCAGCCTGCCGTGCCTGAGCCTGGCGCTGCTCAGCCTCATGTTCCTCGTGGCGGCGCTGCTCAGACTGCCGTGCCTGACGGTGGCGCTGCTCAGCCTGCCGAGACTGGCGGTGATGCCCCACTGCTCTTCACACAGGAGCACCTGCAAGAGGCAGCCTGCTCGCGCCAGATTGTGGGCCGCGACGAAGCCAGCGCCGCTCTCCAATCGCTGTTGCACTACCACCATGGCGAGACTGCCCCAGGTGCTGTTGACATCACCGATGGCTCAGCATTTGACTGGCTTCGATGGGTGGCACATATCGAAGGTGCGCGCGACGTCATCCGCAATGGCGTCCACAGGGTCTACGCTGTCCGCTGGAATCCGCACTGGGCTCCAGAGGCCGTCTTCTGCTACGGCAACAACACCTACAGCACACTGGTGCCCCGCAAATCGCGCTACACAGGCTCGTGGAGCCACGCGCGAATTGTGACTCACCGGAACGCCAATTGGGTGACCGAACCGTTGCTATCTGCGGCCCCTGTGGCAGCTACGCCGTGGCTGGTGTTGCGGGATCAAATAACCTGGGAGTGATCTCTGGCAAACGAGATGTGGTGCTTCTCAGCCTGCACTCATGTGACACGCAATGCCGTGCCCTGCAATCGCGTGGTGTTTCTCAGCCTGCACTCGCAGGTCCTTCGGAGGTCAATTGTTATGAGTTCGGCACGGTCTCGGTCAAGTACAGCGTGCTGTGGGGATCCCGAGATGGGGCCTGGCTCAAGGTGCTCAAGACGTACTGGAGTGTCCCAGAGCCGGAGTGCCAGCTGATCCTCGGGAGTTGGAACGGCATTTTCAGGCCGTGGCCGGACACGTTCTGGATCAGGACGGGGGGGTCCGAGCCCGAGATAGATGCTAGCGCTCTGCAGTACAAGTGCTTTTCAGCATGCGACATCCTGCGGTGCTTCTCAGCCTGCAGGGTTCGCAGCGTGCGGTTTGCAATGCATTCCTTTTCAGTATGCGAGTTCCTGCGGTGTTTCTCAGGTTGCAGGGCTCCGAGGCTCTTCCCTTCGATGCCAATGTTTTCAGACACCGTAGCTCCGTTCCGTAAACATCTTCCAAGAGCCGCTCGCAACTTTTTGCAGCTGGCGGTCTGCAGACGTAGTCTGTCTCAGCATGCGAGCTCCCGCACGCTTCGCCGGCTTTTGCTGCGCGGACAATTTTCTCACACACGTCAGCGCCGTTTGTAGGCGTCAGAAAAACATGTAGACATTCACGAAGGGCTCAGTCTGTATATCGTCACATCATTACATACGCAGTCGTCGAACACATCGGTGTACATTCAGCGCTTTGTCCTTCTAGCTGGGTCGCTTCGTGCTGAGGCTGAGGCTGATGCAGGCTGAGGCTGAGGCAGGCTGAGGCTGAGGCCGAGGCCGACGGCAGACTGAGGCTGAGGCTGAAGCAGGCTGAGGCTGAGGCAGAGGCAGGCTGAGGCTGAGGCTGAGGCTGAGGCAGGCTGATGCTGAGGCAGGCTGAGGCTGAGGCTGAGGCTGATGCAGGCTGAGGCTGAGGCAGGCTGAGGCTGAGGCCGAGGCCGAAGGCAGACTGATGCTGAGGCTAAAGCAGGCTGAGGCTGAGGCTGAGGCAGGCTGAGGCTGAGGCAGGCGGAGGCTGAGGCTGAGGCAGGCTGAGGCTGAGGCTGTGACTGCGACTGCCGTTGCCACTGCGACTGTCCTCGCGAATGCGACAACGACTGCGAGAACAGCAGAATTCTACAACTGGATTCTCATCCGAATCTTAAGGGGAATGCTTCCAGATATGCTCCTACACATGGCTGTTAGGTTGCTTTGCCGGGATAGTTTGTTTTCTATGATTAGGCGGAGCTCGGGCTGCTGTGGGAGCGGTACGCGCCGCACGGCGCCGCCTCCGTGTCCTTCCCCGACTTCGTGCGCCAGCTCCGTGCCGGCAGCCCCTACTGAGCGCTGCGGGGGCCTGCGCGCGCGCGGTCGCCAACGGTCCACGGCGGGCCCCGTCGCCTCGCGCGCGCTCTGCGCTGGTTGGCGAGGTCGGGGGTTTGCAGCTTGTGCTTAGCGTTCGAGTAGGGGATCGGCTGTGTACAACATTCGGTCTACCCCCCAAACTGATTTTTCAGTCGAGTCTAGAGGGCACGTAGGAAGGCTCCGTACATCTATGGAACATTCTACGTATTTTCTGGTAGATTCTACGGACCAGTGATTTCGGGGTGAATCAATTCTGTAGTCGATCCCCTGTTCGAAGCGCGTCGCGCCGCCGGTTTTGGCCCACCACGCTTCGCCTCGACACGCGAGCCATATCCCAGTCCCCGAGCATCATCTGTTCGAGCTTCTCTCAGGCTCTCGTCCCACGAAGCAGGGCGACACAACATCAGCTTGCAAAGCATACGTAGCGTGTCACAGGGGCCGCCGCCGCGACTCGCTGAGCAACAGTTCCTCGCCGACCCCCCCAAAAACGTTATCCGATAACAAACAACTGCGCACAACAAGCATATTAGTGTTTGCCAGCGTGAACCCTCAGCAACAAGCTATTCCACTGGATGTGTAGGCTATGTGGCGACATGTGCGTGGTGTAAGCCAGGTGGTGCGATATGTGGTATAAGCGTTTCGGTGGAAGCTACGAGGTGAGCGCTACGCGGTGCAAGCCATGTGGTGTAAGCTGTGTGGTGTGGGCTGCGCTGATCAATTTATCGAAGACGCCTGCGGCGAATCGCCGCCGCCCCCTGCCTTTTCATGATACACCTATGTGGCCAAGCGTTTGGGCGAAGTTTGGCCACGCCATTGGGCTATGCGTTCCCCAAGCCGTTGTGGAAGCCCTTCGGGGAATACGTGGGGGGGGAAGAGGAGGATGAAGAGAGGGAGGAACAGGGAGGAAGAGGAGAAGGGTGAGGAGACCTGACCTTCTTGGGTCATACTTGGGGCCGCCCGGGAGCCTCCTCGGGGCCCCTTGGAGGCCTCTTGGGGGCCTCCGTGGGTCTCTTCAGGGCCTTTCGGAGCTTCTTGGGGGCCATTGGGGGCTTCTTGGGGGCCTCGTTGGTCGTCTGACGGCGTTCCTGGCCCGTCTGACATCGTCGTAAGCCGTTTTGCGAGCCTGTCTAGGTCGTCTTGGAGCCCTTTGGGGGCGCTTCAGGGTCGTCTTGAAGGCCATCTTGCGCGTCTTGGAAGCCTCTTGGGCCGTCTTGGGGCCCTTTGGGGGCCATCTTGGGGGCCTCTTGGGCCGTAGTAAGGCCCTCTTGGAGGCCTCTCGGGCGATAGTGGGGCAGTCTCGGGGGGCTCTTGGGCTGTCTTGGGCTGTCGGATGGCCGTTGTGAAGGAAGTGGCGAAATCCTTTAACAGCCTAAAGACATCATTGAATTTGGCCACTTTAGGCTCTCCTGGAGGACCTTTTGTTTGGTGGCCCTTTCGGCCGTCTTAGGGGCCTCTTGGGCGCTTCTTGGGCAGTCTTGGGCTCCTTTGGACCATCGTGGCGGTCTTGGAGGCATCTTGGGGCCATCTTGGCTGTGTTGGAGGCCATCTTGGCTCTCTTGGAGGCAATCTTGACAGTCGCGGAGTCCATCTTGGGTTATCGTGGAGCGGGAAAGGCATTAACCCCGGGATTTTCGGCACTCTCCATGTGACCGGCGGGTTGGGCCGACGTCCCAGGGGGGAGTTCGTCAAGAAAGAACGCCGTGCACCCTTGTGGCACGACCACAGGGGGCAGCGGATCGAAGACGCCGACGGCGAATCACCGCCGCCCCTTGCTTTTTGGAATCGCCCATGTGGCCGAGCGTTGGTGCAAAAGCTCTGCCAACCTATAGGACCGTGTGTTCCCCGAGCCGTTGTGGAAACCCTTCGGGGAACGCTTGGTGGAGGGTGGCGGGGAAGATCAGGAGGAGGAGGAGGAGAAGGAGGAGGAGGAGGAGGAGGAGGAGGAGGAGGAGGAGGAGGAGGAGGATGAGTTGGAGAAGGAGGCATCTTGGGAGCCTCTGGTGGCACTTTTCGAGCCTTCCTGGAGGCCTTCCTGGGAGGCTTTTGGGGGCATCTCGGGGGCCTCCTTGGGCCTGGAGCCTTTGGAGGCTTCTCGGGGGCCTCTTTGGCCATCTTAGGGCATTGGGGCCTCTCTGGGCCGACTTGGGGCCCTCTTGGGGTGCTCCAGGGCCGTCTTGGAGGCCATCTTGGGCGTCTTGGAGGCCTCTTGAGCCGTCTTGGGGCCCCCTTGGGGCCGTCTTGGGGGCCTCTTGGGCCGTCCTGGGGCCATTTTGGAGGCCCCTTGGGCGATCTTGGGGCGATCTTTGGGGGCTCTTGGGCCGTCTGGGGCCGTCGGGAGGCAGACACGAAGCAAATGCCCACATCCTTCAGCAACCTAAGGAGCCTCAAGGATTTTGGTCTCTTCGTGCCTTCCTGGAGGCCTTCCTGGAGGCCCTCTTGGAGGCCTCTTGGGCCGTCTTGGGGACCTCTTGGGGGCTCCTTGGGCCGTCTTGGGCCATCTTGGAGCCATCTCGGACCGTCTTGGTGGGCTCCTGGCCCGTCTGACGCCGTCGGAAGCCGTGTTGGCGGCCTCTCTGGGCCGACTTGGGGCCCTCTTTGGGTGCTCCAGGGCCGTCTTGGAGGCCATCTTGGGCGTCTTGGAGGCATCTTGAGCCGTCTTGGGGCCCCCTTGGGGCCGTCTTGGGGGCCTCTTGGGCCGTCCTGGGGCCATTTTGGAGGCCCCTTGGGCGATCTTGGGGCGATCTTTGGGGGCTCTTGGGCCGTCTGGGGTCGTCGGGAGGCACACACGAAGCAACTGTCCACATCCTTCAGCAACCTAAGGAGCATCATGGGCTCCTGGCCCGTCCGACGCCGCCGGAAGCCGTCTTGGCGGCCTCTCTGGGCCGACTTGGGGCGCTCTTTGGGTGCTCCAGGGCCGTCTTGGAGGCCATCTTGGGCGTCTTGGAGGCCCCTTGGGCCGTCTTGGGACCCTCTTGGGGCCGTCTTGGGTGCCTCTTTGGGCCGTCCTGGGGCCATCTTGGAGGCCTCTTGGGCGATCTTGGGGCGATCTTTGGGGGCTCTTGGGCCGTCTGGGGCCGTCGGAAGGCAGACACGAAGCAAATGCCCACATCCTTCAGCAACCTAAGGAGCATCAGTGATGTTGGCCTCTTCGTGCCTTCCTGGAGGCCTTCCTGGAGGCCCTCTTGGAGGCCTCTTGGGCTGTCTTGGGGACCTCTTGGGGAATCCTTGTGCCATCTTGGAGCCATCTCGGACCGTCTTGGTGGGCTCCTGGCCCGTCCGACGCCGCCAGAAGCCGTGTTGGCGGCCTCGCTGGGCCGACTTGGGGCCCTCCTGGGGTGCTCCAGGGCCGTCTTGGAGGCCGTCTTGGGCGTCTTGGAGGCCCCTTGGGCCGTCTTGGGGCCCTCTTGGGGCCGTCTTGGGTGCCTCTTGGGCCGTCCTGGGGCCATCTTGGAGGCCTCTTGGGCGATCTTGGGGCGATCTTTGGGGGCTCTTGGGCCGTCTGGGGCCATCGGAAGGCAGACACGAAGCAAATGCCCACATCCTTCAGCAACCTAAGGAGCATCAATGATTTTGGCCTCTTCGTGCCTTCCTGGAAGCCTTCTCTTGGAAGCCTCTTGGGCCGTCTTGGGGACCTCTTGGGGGCTCCTTGGGCCGTCTTGGGCCATCTTGGGAGCCATCTCGGACCGTCTTGGTGGGCTCCTGGCCCGTCCGACGCCGCCGGAAGCCGTGTTGGCGGCCTCTCTGGGCCGACTTGGGGCCCTCTTGGGCTCCAGGGCCGTCTTGGAGGCCATCTTGGGCGTCTTGGAGACCCCTTGGGCCGTCTTGGGGCCCTCTTGGGGCCGTCTTGGGTGCCTCTTGGGCCGTCCTGGGGCCATCTTGGAGGCCTCTTGGGCGATCTTGGGGCGATCTTTGGGGGCTCTTGGGCCGTCTGGAGCCGTCGGAAGGCAGACCCGAAGCAAATGCCCACATCCTTCAGCAACCTAAGGAGCATCAATGATTTTGGCCTCTTCGTGCCTTCCTGGAGGCCTTCCTGGAGGCCCTCTTGGAGGCCTCTTGGGCCGTCTTGGGGACCTCTTGGGGGCTCCTTGGGCCGTCTTGGGCCATCTTGGAGCCATCTCGGACCGTCTTGGTGGGCTCCTGGCCCGTTCGACGCCGCCGGAAGCCGTGTTTGCGGCCTCTCTGGGCCGACTTGGGGCCCTCTTGGGGTGCTCCAGGGCCGTCTTGGAGGCCATCTTGGGCGTCTTGGAGGCCCCTTGGGCCGTCTTGGGGCCCTCTTGGGGCCGTCTTGGGTGCCTCTTGGGGCCGTCCTAGGGCCATCTTGGAGGCCTCTTGGGCGATCTTGGGGCGATCTTTGGGGGCTCTTGGGCCGTCTGGGGCCGTCGGAAGGCAGACACGAAGCAAATGCCCACATCATTAAGCAACCTAAGGAGCATCGGCCTCTTCGTGCCTTCCTGGAGGCCTTCCTGGAGGCCCTCTTGGAGGCCTCTTGGGCCGGCTTGGGGACCTCTTGGGGGCTCCTTGGGCCGTCTTGGGCCATCTTGGAGCCATCTCGGACCGTCTTGGTGAGCTCCTGGCCCGTCCGACGCTGCCGGAAGCCGTGTTGGCGGCCTCGCTGGGCCGACTTGGGGCCCTCCTGGGGTGCTCCAGGGCCGTCTTGGAGGCCATCTTGGGCGTCTTGGAGGCCCCTTGGGCCGTCTTGGGGCCGTCTTGGGGCCGTCTTGGGTGCCTCTTGGGCCGTCCTGGGGCCATCTTGGAGGCCTCTTGGGCGATCTTGGGGCGATCTTTGGGGGCTCTTGGGCCGTCTGGGGCCGTCGGAAGGCAGACCCGAAGCAAATGCCCACATCCTTCAGCAACTTAAGGAGCATCAGTGATGTTGGCCTCTTCGTGCCTTCCTGGAGGCCTTCCTGGAGGCCTTCCTGGAGGCCTCTTGGACCGTCTTGGGGACTTCTTGGGGGCTCCTTGGGCCGTCTTGGGCCATCTTGGAGCCATCTCGGACCGTCTTGGTGGGCTCCTGGCCCGTTCGACGCCGCCGGAAGCCGTGTTGGCGGCCTCTCTGGGCCGACTTGGGGCCCTCTTGGGGTGCTCCAGGGCCGTCTTGGAGGCCATCTTGGGCGTCTTGGAGGCCCCTTGGGCCGTCTTGGGCCCCCCTTGGGGCCGTCTTGGGTGCCTCTTGGGCCGTCCTGGGGCCATCTTGGAGGCCTCTTGGGCGATCTTGGGGCGATCTTTGGGGGCTCTTGGGCCGTCTGGGGCCGTCGGAAGGCAGACCCGAAGCAAATGCCCACATCCTTCAGCAACCCAAGGAGCATCAATGATTTTGGCCTCTTCGTGCCTTTCTGGAAGCCTTCCTGGAGGCCCTCTTGGAGGCCTCTTGGGCTGGCTTGGGGACCTCTTGAGGGCTCCTTGGGCCGTCTTGGGCCATCTTGGAGCCATCTCGGACCGTCTTGGTGGGCTCCTGGCCCGTCCGACGCCGCCGGAAGCCGCGGTCTGATCCGATCCGCTCGAGGACGGTGCGCCCCAGGCCCTGTAAGCGGCGCGCCCTCGGGCCATACCAGGGTGCATCCAGTGCGTGCCCGCGCTCGAAGACGGTGCGCACGGGTGCAGGCAATGGTAGGTCCCAGGAGCGGAGTTTGGGACGTGCCAAGGGGAGGCTCGCGTGCCACTGCTCGGCGCCTTTCGTCAGCCACGCGCAGAGGGACGTATGGGGGGAGGGGGGAAATGCTCCTTGGAAGGAGGCTGCTTCTTCGAAGGCGTGGGCCTTGCATCATACGCAGACAAGGCCCGCGCCTTCTAAGAAGCAGGCTGCTTCCAAGACGCCTCCCCTCCTCCCTCTACCCCCCTTCTGCGTGCCGCCAATATTGGACCCATCTTGGCCGAGGAGCGAGAGAAGGGCGGAGGGCGAAAAGGTTGGGATGGAGAGGGCGGAGTTAGGATCATGAGCGAGAGAGACACATTTGGCCTTCCCCAGTCGGAACTCTGCGGCTGGTGCCCTATGTACTTGGTGCTCTGTGGCTTGCGCGCAGGGTTCGCAGTCGGCATTTCCCAGTCGGTGGCCTATAGCTGGTGCCCTATGCTTTGGTCCCCTATGGTTGATCGTTGGGGTGCAGGGCTGGAGTCGGCCGTTTCCAATTGGTACCCTCTGGCTGGTTCCCTGTGCGTTGGTTCCCTGTGGTTGGCACGTGGGATTCTCAGTCGGCCGTTGCCGGTTGGTACCCTGTGGCTGGGGCTTTGTGCGTTTGTGCTCTATGGTTGGCCCACGGGGTCGCAGTCGGCCCTTCGTTGTCGGTGGCATATGGTCGGACGGGGACAGAATGAGGATAAATCCGTTCCAGAGCGTTCTGGAACGCTCTAGGAAGGCCACGGCGCCCGAGACATCCTCCAGAGCCGCCATATCTGAGAGATTCTCGAATTATCCTCGCCCGTTTTTATACATGTCCTGGCCTCGTCTAATATGGCTGGTGTCTGTCCCATTGGGGCGCAGCTGGCCTTTCCCACTCTGTGCCCTGTGTTGCCTATCTTATAGTTATGGTCCCCTTTGGGCCGACGTCACCCGTGCCAGGTCGGTGCCTTCTGTTTGGTGCTCACTGGTTGGTGCCTTGTGTGTGGGACCAACCGTATGGCACAACGCACCTTGCATCATACATATATATATATATATATATATATTGCACCACGCAGACTGCTGCGCAATGTGCTGCTATATAAAGATTGCGCCACGTACATACTGCCACACGGACTGTATCATCACTTTTTGCACCACATAGATCGCACACCGGTGCTAGAAGCCATTGTTTTGGGCCCGCGTTCTGGCATCCTTTTCTCATAGCGGATGCTATAGACTAGTTATCATTAAATTGACATCACGTAGGAGCTCCGGGGCCCTAGTCCCGTCCTGGCAGATCTGGGCCTGAGCACCGTCTCCACATCCCGCGAGTGTCCGCTCGAGGATGGTGCGCCCCCAGGTACAGTCCAGACCATAATGCGTCCCAGGTGCATTCCGCGTTCGCCCGCTCGAGGACGGTGGTTACCAGGTCCAGCCAGGTCCAGTCCATGGTGTGTCACAGACCTGTTCAAGGTGGGTTCTTTGTGTTCCCGCTCAAAGACGGTGCGGCCCAGGTCCGGACAATGGTGCTTCCCAAGGTCGATAATTCTTAGCACTGCTAGTAATATGCGTTTTGTCATTTTGCTCGCGCATTCCGTGCACCTTCTAGTCCACAGCGAGTTGTGAGACGACGGGGTTCGAACGCCATTCCACCCCAAGGCGGCCTCTGCTGCGGTCGACGCGGCAGCTTTTGTCGTGTGCGACGGAATCGTTTATAAGCCAGTTGCTCTGGCCGCGCGCGCATGCGCTGCAGCGCTAGAGGCTGGCGAAGCGGAGGCCCGCGAAGCGGCGCCCCTATAGGAGCTGTGTCTCCAGTCAATTAGGCGCGCGCGTGTGTAATTGCACCGCGCGCTCCAGGTGGAATCATTTGCGAGTGTCTTGGGCGCTCTGTACTCTACACGTCCTCGGAGGCAATTCGCCACAGGGCGAAACAAAGTATCAGACCCGCTCGTGCTCGGATCCGCTCATGCTCTGTTCCATGCATATTCAGGCTCACTCACACTCAGACTACCCATACCCAGGCTCACTCGCGCACATAATCCTTCATACCCAGACGCTCACACACAGCCTCACTCATGCTCGTTGGAGATCATCGTTATGTAGCAGCCATGATTCTTGGACCTTCCACTGTGGGAGCCGCCAGAGGTGTTCCACGGACCAGTTCGGCCCAGATTGTCAGGACTTCTCAGGTTAAACGCCTGTTTTGGCCCCGCGGACGAGTTTCTCTTCAGAGCCCCACAGTCGACGCGATGTAGCAGGCATGGCATTGGGGTCACCCCGAGGATGTTGTCGACCCAGGGTGTTCCACGGGCCTGCTCGCTCTGCGGGGACGTCTCAACTGCGACGCCCGCTTTGGCCCAGCTCACGAGTCTCACTGCAGAACCCCGTGGTCACTGCGATGTAGTAGGAATCTGATCCATGTCACCCAAGGGCGTCCACGTGCACGTTGGTGCTAACACGCGTCCTGAGGATCTCAGGCAGTCCTGTGAACAGGATAAATCGCCTCAGAGCGTTCCGGAATGCTCCCCGAGTGCTCCAGGACGCTTCGAACGGCCGCCGCGCCCGATGCATCCCCCAGAGCCGCCGGATCTTAGAGGTCACCGATTTTTCCCGATCCGATCGGCGGAGGCGGGTGAGGAGGAGGAGGAGGAGGAGGCGGAGGACCAGGACGGGGAGGAGGTGTGGAGGAGGCGGAGGAGGAGGAGGAGGAGGAGAAGGAGGAGGAGGAGGAGGAGGCGGAGGAGGCGGAGGAGGCGGAGGAGGAGGAGGCGGAGAAGGAGGAGGAGGCGGAGGAGGAGACGGACAGGAGGAGGAGGAGGAGGAGGCGGAGGAGGAGGAGGAGGAGGAGGAAGAGGACCACGCAGTTGACCATTGGTCTTTGTAAAAAGGAAGGATCACGCTAGCCCTTCAAGCAAGGGAGGCAGGGGAGGGCATCTGTACCTCTTCTTCCTTGAATGTATCCAGGTATGCATTGCCCGTGGGAGTGGCCGTCTTACATTCCCTGAGAAGGTTCTGGGCACTACGCGTGGCATGATAACCGCACGTCGGACATATGTAATCACTCCCAGCAGAGAGCACCATATCATGTAATGGGTCGACAAACCTCGCACCTATACAAACGTTCTGCAACTGCTCCGCGCCCTTGTGCCCAGCTCGGGGCTTCGAAGCCAGGCAGGGGGAAAGCCAGACACTCCTGAGACGGGATATGACCGTGCGAACTTCCCGAGATCACTGAACAACAGGTGCTGCAAAACAACCGACAATCAGAGCCTGCACCTACAGGAATCACATTGTGCGCACTTTCACGCAGCTGTTCAGCTAGCTTTAAGTCGGGCCTGTTCCTCTACAGGAGGAATCTTCAAAAATAGTAAAAAAAATGCCCGGGGACGATTTTTGGAATCTGTTTCACTATTTGGGGGCATTTTCGGCATTTTTTAAATTCTTCGTCCAAGCTACGCCTGTACGGGGACATGCCCGACCGAAAGCTAGCTTGGGACGAGGGTTGAAGGCTCGAAGAGGCGGGGTAGGGGTCGCTGGCACCTTGGCTCTGGCTTTCTTTCTCGCTCCAGGGTGCTGTTGGGGATCTCCTCCAGGGACTTTCGGAGACCTCGAGAGAAGAACTTCACAGGCCCGAATTCTCACGGCGCGCGTCAGGGCCTCAGAGAAATGTGAACTGCACCCGCCTCCCCCACCTGTAACCGAATGCGCCTGGCCGTCTTCTCGGCCAGTTCGTCTGTCAACTTGTTCTCCACCCAAGCGATTAGCAACTCTCTTTTCTCAGTGGCCTGCTCGGGAGGCACGTGCGACTCGATCTTTAAGATTACGGTCGGCTTCTCTCGAAGAAGCCGCTGGATTCAGCGCCAGCCGTTCTCATGCCCAGCAGGGTAGAAATCCAACAGGACCTTGGCGACGTTGTTCTGGACGTGCGACGAGTCCGTGACGAAGACGAGCGGTCGGCCCGACAGGGCCTCGTCCAGGAACCTCAAGAGTGCGATCATCTCGCCGTGGTTGATGGTTTGAGCTCCCCTTGTGGCACCAGTAGAAGGCCTCGACGTGGCCAGATCTGGAGACGGGCTTCCCAAATCGAAGCCTTCGAAGACGACGCATGCCCAAGAAACCCTTCGGGACCGAGCCTGATCTGAGTACTTTCCCCCTGAGACATCACCTGCACCGACGATAGTCTCGGCTTCACCAGGGAAGAAGCCGTGCGTGTGCACGAACATGTCGGGCTCGTCTGGCGGTGCTGAAACTTGTGTCCACGACGAGGAAGTAAGGCCTCGCAGCCACACCGACGGCTGCGAATCCACCTGAGTGCGAGCTCTGTGCACGTACGCCTCGCTGCTGGTGACCCTGGAGATGCATGCATTCGCTGAGCATTCCCAGATGCTATGAACAGTAGACTCTAGTTGACCGCTATCACAGCGGTCGCAATTGGCTGAAACATCTGGCGGCTTGATGACGTCCTGAATTCGCTCTTTGGCCCATTGGCCTTCAGAGCACACGTTGAATAGAGCTCCAGCACATTTATGATTGTCTCGATCTCTAGCTCGGCGTAGCTGCTGTCGAACGTCTGTTAGATCTACACCGTTCACAACATCATTGCTTTCGTAATGCTTGGCTGCTCGCTTCCATGGTACACGTCTTACAGTTTCGGCTAGGTCTTGGTGTATATCATCTGAGTCACAGGAGGTCCTGCTTCTAAGATCTCTGGATTACCCTGATCGGATCGATATTGCCCAAATTCCGAAACCCAATGCCAAGGCCCCACGGGACTCCAGTTGATGTCCAGCAGGGTGTTCACGATGGCCTTTGCGGGCCCCGAAACCTTCCGACACCGATGTTTAGGGTTATCTCCGGCCTGGAAGACGTGGGCTGCCCAATCTCGCGCGGCAAAATTACGAGCCTCGGCACCAGTAGAACGTATGCCTACCCAGCTTTCGAGCATCTTAGAAACCTGCGAGACGGCTGGGTCTTGATCGCCTAGTTCCAGCTGCAGCAGGGTATCGAGACAACGCCCACGTATCGAGCTCGTAAAAGTGCCATATGTTGCCCTGCGCCGTGCCTGCACTGCCGACGGACTCGTACCGCACACCGCTGCGTCGTACGGGACTTTCGCGCAGCAGCCTCGATGTATCGCTCGCTCTGCGTGCTGCTGCTTTTGGTAGTGCTCGCATGTTCGTGCCCCTGTCCGTGCCAAGATCTATTGCTTTGTGAGCCACTGTGATCTTAATATTGCGCTGTGCCGGCTTGCGCGCGATATCCTTTGCCAAATCCAAGTCCCTTGCGATGATTTTGCTCCTGCGTGCTATGCCCAAGTGCGCCTTACTGCATAGCCTGCCCACGAGGATCCCCGCCTTGGTGTGGGCCTGGGAGAGGAACCTGACAGAGCCATACGCGCATTGTGTGATGCCGTCAACCCAAGAAGGCGTGCTTACAGCTGGGTTACACTTGTAGTGCACGGTCTTGAATATACAGTATAAATACAATCTTCCGAATCGCTGCCTCGACGAGCCCCTGCAATGATGCTCTTGAAGGCCTGCACAGCAAGGGAATAGCATCGTTCCTCCCTGGACACTCTGATGATGAGGTGCGCGAGGCCCTCCATCAGCAACATAAGAAGCAGAGCATCCAATGCCAGGCCTTGCTCGAACAAGCGTTCGTACCCAAGGGAATCGTAGAAGCTGTCGATGTCCCACAGGAGGATCACCGAGACAGTATGCTCGGGGCATATGCGAGTTGCCTCGTCCGTGGAGGCTCTGAGCAGGCAGACGCAAAGGCACGAGGATCCATGGACTGCGTGGTCCCACTTGCCCGCCATGCGCTCCACCCACTCCGAGGGGTAAATCTGCCTTGCCGAACTCCATAAACGGATTCAATATGGAAGCAGTTCAATTGAACTGTCTGAGTCGGCACCTTTTCTCAACAAGGCAACAGTCGCAGTTTGAATTTGCCATGGCCAACCTCCATGTCGCTCACGTGCATTCAAGAATTTGGTGAGATGTGCTATCCCAGCTTGGGGGATGTACTTCAGCGAGCCGCCCAGCTGCTCGATGCCCGCAGCTGTCTTCGAATCGATCTGCTCAAAGGCGACGGCGACCTGCACTGGTTGAAGTTCTTGCCATGGCTGCTCGGCTGCCCGCTGATGTGCCCCTGATGTGCCCGTCGTAGAAGATGAACCAATCTCTGTACCGACAAAATCTTGGAAGCCCATTTGTGCTGCCAACGAGAACTCTTCTGGACTAGACTATCCTTCAAGCTCGTGGAGCTGAGTCGCGGTACTCGGTCTCAATCCTCGTTTTCGGCTTCACATGCCGATGCAGCTTGCCACAGCCCTGCTCATGGGACTCGCGAATCCAAGATTGAAAAATACCGTAGCTGTCCCTGGCGGCCTTCCGCTCGAGAGTGAGGGCGATCTTTGCGGCTGACTTCTTTGTGCATGTTCAAAAGCGTGCTGGCCCAGTCCTGCCTATACTTGCCAACGACCTTGCCGTGGCCTGAGAGGGGCATGTCTGCTGATGCCTGCGCTAACCTGTGCACCAAGAAGTTCGTCCTCGGCGCGTTCCTGACCCTGCTTCTCGAAACCTGGTTCGGCAAAACGGTGGGGGAGGAGAAGAGCTGCCACCTCACATGTTGGCGACGTGCCCCTCGAAATGGTGCTTGTCGGTGCCGTCAGCAGAGACGCTTCTGAATCCATCCTGAGACCTTCAACCACCATTGGATTGAAACATCTGCATGTGCGCGCGTCGGCGCCGGCTGAAGAACGGGCCTCTCCGCGCCCTTGGTAGTGCCATCCTCGCTCAGGAGGGACCTCCAGCACACGGCAGAGAAAGCTATCGAAGCAGCTGGTGAAGAGGCCGTATTCTTTTCCAATTGGCAGTCTCGGGGGCGTACTGATAGGAGAGGCTGTCCTGGATCCATTCTGGCGGCATCGCCCAAGCGCTG